ACGGAGACTTGCCACGGTCTCCAACCCTCCTCCTTTCTCATCCGTGCTTGGGACCGGCCATGGCGGAGTTACCTTTTGCATATCCATTTGACGTTATTTTTGATTCCAAGCATTTGCTAGAAAAATTTTTCCTTCCGTATGCTTCCACCATACGCTTCAGGTTTTCCACAGTTTTTTTTTGTAAAGTTTCCCTCATTTTCCGTTTATTAATGGACATGCAGATTGATGTATAAAAGCTGAGCTGTTCTACAGTGGTTGCGATTCATGTTCACCGTTAGCGATAAGTGAGTATGCCTAGTCTCCTTTTGGGGTAGCACCAGTACTTATGTTGCTGTGTCAGATAAAATAGTTCATTAACCGTTTAAAATGAAAGTTATTAATAGGGAGGTGCAAGTCAGATCGATATACAGAATATGTAGGAGATGTAAACTCAGTACATGTGATAATTTGTTTAAGCAAAATCACTCATCTATTCTTTTCAGAAGTGTTTTATCTAAACTATTGAAATGCTGTCATAACCGATTGTTTTACCTGTTGCATCTCATCTGTAATTTGTCGATTTCTTTTAGTTAGTGGAACTGAAAAATGGCGAAACCTATAACGGTCACTTGGTTGCTTGTGACAACTGGATGAACATTCATCTTCGTGACGTTATATGTACCTCAAGGGTAAGTAAGCGATATAAAAATGAATGATAGCCTTTAACTCCCTGCTTCATTCTTTCCTGCGTATTCGTGTTATGAATTATATGATACGTTATTTCTCATGTATTCGGCAGTATTGAGAAAAATTTCGAGTGTAATCACTTGAGTCTCTATACTAGTTAGGCCATTTGTCAGGGTTTTTGTGTAAGTAACGCCTTAAGTTTTTTCTGTTATTATGTCCTCTTACGGTAGTGTTGCTGGGCAGTGATTGATATGTCATCAGTCCTACATTCCAAAGATTTCCGACATGTTTTCCGTAGCTAGTGTCAGATTCTCTTCCTAGCTGTGCTGCTATTCTGACTGGTGTTGACTTGTGATGAATTGAAAAATAGTAGACTGATCGACTGTCATTAACAGTTGCTTCAGTGGCTTTCTCGTGCTTGATTTTACGACATTGAGGATATGATGTTCCATTCTTCTGAGGTGGTTTCATAACTTGAAACCAGTCAAGAAATGGAAATGAATAATAACGCTTGGTAAGATAATATAAGGTTAAGCTTATTCGCTTGGACGCAAAGTTGCAATCAGCGCTAGGTGGTATTTTTATGCCAGTTGGTTAAATACTATATTAAACCAGTTGTGTAGAGAGTGAAAATCTTCATTAGTCAAAGCGTTTTGAGTGTGAGGCTTTATACAGTTTTGCTGATAAGGACGAATATTCTTTTATTTAAAGATTAAGATTGTTATTTAATTAATTTTGGTTGAATACATTGTACTCTCAAGACGGACAAGGCTTGGTCCGAAACGTCAGTTGTCCCTAATTAAAGAGCATTTTATGCGTTGTCTTCCCGTTTGTGACTTATCTAAAGCTTATATCACCTCCTCATAAAGAAATCATGTACATTTTTCAATGAATATTTCTTATAATAAAGTTTGTTTATTTGAAATATCTTCTCCTAAGTACTACATCCACTACGTAATCGTGATAACAGGTTGACAACGGGTTGTCAGGAAGATATGTAGCTGAGTCTCGAGACTGCCTGGTTTAACTATGCTGTGAAAGGTTTAAAGACCTACCCTGCCAAATGGAATAGGTAATACTCACCAACCTTCCTTGCCAGAATGGTGAGTTACGGCCAGATCCTCTGAAATACAATCGTTGCTAAACCACGGTCCTCGTTTCTTGGAGGCCAGGCTGCTGCCGACGAAAGCAGCAGCTCATCAGGCATTAAGTTAGAGGTGCTAAGAATACCCAGGTTACAGATCGGAGCTGCCCGGTTTGCTAAAACTGGCAACGTATAACTGCAGATCGCACTAGGTGAAGCAAAATTTCATGAGCTGGAAGAACGTAGAAAAATCAACTGGAACATTGTAGCACTCAGCGGGTTAGACTAAAGGGTATTTTAGCTTAAAAGTGGGCACCGCATTGAGTAGAGGCTATTATCCATTGAAGAATAAAGAACAGTCTAATATAAGTAGTACAGCCTAATATATAGCATGGTACAGTTAGTAGTACAGCCTAATATATAGCATAGTACAGTCTAATATAAGTAGTAGCAGAATAAAGAACAGTCTAATATAAGTGTACAGCGTTTCAGAGGGACTTACAAGACTGGTTTTGAGAGTTTCAAGTAGACTGCATTGCAAGTGATCTAAGTATATGCACCGACTCAAGCCAACCTTTGGGAAGAGGCTGAAAATTTTTGAGTAAAAGTAGAAGGATTTCATGATCAAGGAAAGAGTCATTACAAGTTCACAGTTGATTTCAACGCCGAAGTTGGGCCACAGCAAGTAACGAATTGTCTGTGGGTCGTTTTGGTTACGGCGAAAGGAACGATAAGCGGGATTGGTAGTGGAGCTATCTGAAAGTAATAAGTTATTTATTTTGAACATATTTTTTAAGAAAAAAATAGATACAAGCGACAGCAAAGCGAAAACAAAGTCAAGAATGAAATCTCTTTCGTTCTCAATGCCATGCAAAGTGGGTCTGGGTGCTGAACATGTTTAATGCAGGATACGATCACAGGCTCGTCAGATAGAAAGTGCCAACGACATATTGAGGTCTTATTGAAATTATTGTCATAGTACAAAACTGTAAGTATATTGGACATCTCATCTCTGCAACGGAGAATCGACTCTAAAGAAATCAGCGGAAGACTAAAAATCGCATAAAGCACTTTTGGACGTTTGATAATGGTCTTTTCCGGGAATCTGCTTTTGTACTTGAAAGGAAAACTTTTCGATCTGTGTGCTATCAGTTCTGACACGGGTGTACCCTACGCTTGAAAGTTGTTCATAAACTGCGCACTACACAGTGCAGCATGGAGTGAGTCTGTTGTTAATAACGAAAAAGGTGCGAAAATGCGTGGATGTTTAGGAGTATGTGATGTCACTGACCGAATAAAAAAGTTAAGGTAGCAGCGAGGATGACACGTTGCAAGAAGAACCTCTCGATCGACGACAGGATTAGCTGAACCAAGATGGATAAAAATGGCAGGAAACAGAGGCAGATTCTTGCGTAGGCCTTCATCCAGTAGTGAATTGACAAAGCTGATGATAATCATTGAAATAAATAATCTTTCTGGCTTTCGATTTTGGTGACTGGAATAATTGTTCAATTTTCTTTCTAAAGATCTTTCATGATTTTTTAAATGGTGTTCCAGAACCTCTTTAGATGTATGTTTCCTGCGTCGAAATCTCTCTCTGGTATTAGAATGATCTTCATCAATGTCCATTCTTTGACAGACACGATTATTAGAAGTTTCACTATAATAACTGAGATATTTAATTTTATAAATTGCATTCCTTTTCCATTATTAAACTAATGTTGTAATTGCTTGCAGCACAGACATGTGCGCCTACTTTTTCTGTGACATCTGCAGCATAAGAAGTCAAGATAATTAAAAGTAGACTTGCATAAAAGATTTTAGCGGGAGAACATAATTATTTGTTCCAAAGAACATTGATCTAATTGTGAAATATCGTTTCGACTTTGCAGTGTAGCGGCATATGAAAATTGAGCTTTTCGCAGCATCCGTGATTCGTCACTTCTTTTAAATGCACTCATTCGCTCACAATGGCCGCCGGTCGATTGGCTTATTCACTGTACTGATAAGCTTTTACTTTTATCTGCCTAGATAAAACTTTTTGTTTGTCAGTTTTTATCCAAAAGATGTCTATTCATTACCTCTCATTTATTCTTCCTGATCATGTTTTGTCGATATATTTGCCTTCAGCCGTTTCCATAAGCACATCATTTTCTTTTCTAATGCTGTTAGTCATCTTACTAATTACTGAAATTTAAAATTTTGTCTTGTGTAAAAGTGCTCCAAAGCTTAATTTGATTTTTGTTTAGAAAAATTGAATTATATTTGTTCATTCTATCTTGTAATTAATTAATTTACTCTGTCTGGTAGGATGGAGACAGATTTTGGCGAATGCCAGAGGTATATGTCCGTGGGTCAACAATCAAATACTTGCGGATACCGGAAGAACTATTAGATATGGTGAAAGAAGAAGTGAAGGAAACTAGAAGAGTACAAAAGGAAGTGTCCCGCATGAGAAGAAGTAAATTTGTCTTATATGCTATCTTTCAGCGCCTTCAGTGCATAGATTTTTCAAAAATGGTTTCGCATTCATTGAGTCTGTTTCGATCACCTGTAATCCTTATCGGCCACGGAGATAAACATGTTAGACAAGGTCTTTAACATTGCTGATACTTTCAAACTTTTCATATTCGGCAGAAGAACCTGAGTCTGTAACAAGATGTATCGAGACACTTGCCCAGGTTATTCTTCGCCGTTAAATACGTCTTTGCCTTTGCCGGTTAATCAAGTATTACCTACTTCTCCTTCTGTTCTAGTACTATTCCTAAGACGTGCCCAGACCTTTGCGGGTTTAACTTCTCAATCTAGAGAAGTGTCCACTGTATACCAACGATGTCGAGACGCATGAGCCTAGCGATTCTTCTCAGAAAGTCCATTTCAGCCGCTCTCTGAGCGCGTGTCCTGGAATCAACACGAATTAAATAGCTTCCACTCGCAGAGGTTCAGAATTCCAGATCCCTTGTGCTTCGTTAACGACAGACCAGCTATGTCCAGTCGGTACCTTGCAGCAGCATCAAAAACTTCCTGATGGTTTTGACTGCGGAGCTTTTCTAATTTTTGAGTGTAAGTTCCCACTATAAGTATCGTTCTCGTTCAACTGTATCCAGCGTGCTACAGTGACATTGTTCTGTCTGCCTCCTCCATTCAGAAGGGTCGCAGCTTTATTGTTGATTAGTATCTTCGTCTTCTTCTTGTCCAACTTCGGCAGCCATCGCCGTATTTCTACATCACCACATGCCAGAGGACCGTATGAAGCAGTTTCTGATCAGCGACTTATCGCAGTCTGCCTCAGTTCCCCAGTGCATGCGCGACCTTTTGTAATTCAGGATCAAGTGTTGTGATAGAACATTCGATAGCGGCATTTCCTTCAGGGATAGGTGGTTAAGTTTTACGTCATCGACGTCCTCATCTTTCCTCCTTTCTTCCCTGGCTTAGGCCAGCAACTCGGAGTTATGGTTTGTAAGATAAAGATATCATTTTTGCATTGTCGAGACAGTTTTACTGACAATTCGATATTTTTAGCCGGCCCTGTAAACAGAGGGTACAAAGGTGCTGGAAGAGGAAAAGGTAATCAAGCGAAGAGATGAACAGATGTGGTGTTATAACAAGTTCACATGTTTTTGTTCGTATTTCGTGGCAATCCTCGTAACATTTATTGTGAGCGCAAAAGTGAAATATTTCAAAATAAAATTGTCAAGATTGTAATGATGTCGTTTTGGCATATTTTTATGCTGTTTATAGTTGACTTTGATGATTTTTTAATGTTCGGTTTGCTCTGAGCGAGAGATCAGTTACCTTTAATATTGAAGGTGCACATTAAAATCTCTCACGGTTTAAATTTATCCCCATACTACTACTTGATATCAACACGGAACCGTCTCTCACAATTTGTCATCTCATTAGCAGAAATTGACATTTGTTTAAAAATGTCAGCTGAACTTATATGCGTCTGAAAACCAGATTGATCAGTTGAGGGTTTCACAGCTTTTTGGCAATAGTTATATTTTATCGTAAATCACTGGCACTAAGCTTTCTTCAGAGACTCTAAAACGCTGTTTCCTGAAATACTCCGAATCTTTGTCAGGTCTCGTGGTGAGTGAAGACCTTTTCTGTCCTTTTCTCTGCACAAGCCGAAGTAGTCGAAAGTTGGAATTTTTTATTTTTGAACTTTTCACCTTCTGCAGTAACTGATTAATGATGCAAGTTCAATCACAAAGCTAGGAGCTAAATGTATGATCCATACAGACAAGTTTTGTTGAATTCAAAATGATTCATTTCAGCTGGGATTAAAATTGTCGTCATGATTTGCTGTGTGAGTTCGGTTCTTGTTTCTGACGTATCACTGTTCTTATTCGTGTTTTCTGCTCGGACGATTGAAAATACAACTTAGCTGATTTAACTCGTTACCGTTTCAGATGGGTGATGTTATTTTAATATTATTAGATCCTGCATCTTGTTGTTTCCTTGCTTTGAGCAGTTTTTCCTCCTTTTTTTCCTTTGAATAGTATTCATTCTTACTCTCGCTTTTAATCGCTAGGAAGATTTTGCTTTACAAAGCGTAAGATGACGGATGAAGACAGACACACCTGACTGATTTTTTAGAATAGGTTATTTCGCAAATTATTTGCATCATATCATCCAAGCAATTTTTCATATTACGCATTAGTCGTTGCCTACCTGTTTTTAATGTCCTATGATTAATTTCAACGCAAAATAACGAAACTATTTTTATGAAGAAAGTCACAATACTTCAGAAATCAGATCCTTTTTCGTCTAGTAATATCTGCGTAATGTGGTTCACTAATCATTTTTTGAAATTTTTCTTGCCAAATTCACGTGATATTAATCTCCTCCTCCAGCTGTTTACGTGACAGATTGTTTTAAAGAATCACATACAGCGGTAGTTGAAATCGATTATGATCGGTACTTGATACTTCATTGTTATCTTGTAATTTATTTAATTGCTTCAATATCGGTGCATATTCAGAATTGGAAATGATTTGCTCTCCAGTTGCCACAGGACAGTAGGAATCGCTGACGCTTTCAGATGCTGTAGTGCAACATTTAAAATTATTTTATTCAAAAGCGATCACAGCCAGTAGTCTTATCTTTGATCGCTGCTATGAGCATTTTGTTTTCATCATCTGATTAAAAGCGTATTCGTCAGATCGATAACATACTGCTGATACGAGCCTTTATACAACATCAAGTATACACATATCATGTTGATGTAAGGCTTAGCTTTCCGATGACCCGTAAAGATATTTTTGTTCCGTTTTCTTTTCGCTAATGAGAAATAACAGCTCATGTATTTATATTATTCTTTCGCGGGATGACAGACATTTTCACCAGCAGTAGCATTAAGCGGGCGTTGTATTGCATATTCTCCATCGTTGGAAATTCAGGAAAAGATTATTTGAGTAACGTGACGTAATAAGCATAGGGCGGCTACCTAAAGATAATCTTGTGTATTTATTATCTTCTACTAGCTTATTTATAATTCTAAGCTTATTCTGTTAAATTGATATTCATGTAATACTAATTACGTTGCCCAGATTTAAAGTGCGTTAGAAAACATAAATTACTGGAACTATTGTAATAACTCCATCAATGAAATTGTGTACATTGTTAAGCCTCAACTGAATGACGTAATAGTCGATTTTTAAATTCATTTTTTGTTGTCTGGCGACAGCAATGGAAATTTTATATTCCATCAGATCGTATCTATGATGTTTGAAAGAATAAGGAAATGACCATTCTTGAAAATTGTACACTGAACAATAGATCGTTTGTTAATTTTACTGACTAGCATTTGGATCGTTAAGACGAAACGTAACACTTCTGTGCCAACTGCCTCATCTATGGGAATGTTGCACACCCAACTTATACCATTGGTTCTGCCTCAATAAATGTATTATAAGTAAGGCGGGTAACTAGACATTACCTCAGAAAGTTTGCCGTTAGGGGCATTTACAAAATCGCAGTGAAACTTCTGACGCATTACTGTTCTTCTCGTCGTGATGTATCAGACACCCCTTTTCTTTAGGTTTCTCCTGCAGTAACTTCACCGTGGTTCGTCATAATTTAAAATTTTTTTAATGGGGCAGACATACCATTCCAGCTAATCGTAAGCTCCGTGATCCGAGCTACAAGGCATCTTTGTTCCACTGTACCAAAAACGTTTAAACTCTTTTAAACATTGCCACTTCGTTGATGCCACAAAAAATAAAGCGGTTCCATTCGAACGGCCTTTATACCAACATGGAAGACTGCAGATAATTCATAAAGCCACGGTAAACGTCCATAATGTTTTTGCGTAATTTCGGTTTGTGGGTGCTGTACTTACACAGGCGAAGGCACTCTTTGCAACATGCTGATTTCTATGGCAGCTTCGAGAAACTGGTTTGAATTGTGTACAATGGTTAGGCTTAGCGATCGTGTGATAACGATGCGCCTATAGTCTCAAAAGCGATCGCGAACGTAAACATCTGATACAGTGTTTAACAACGTATCATACAGTGAAGATACGATCATAATTACGAGATTTACAAAATTTAAAAGACAAATACAGGATGCCCTTGTTTGTTATACAGGAGTTAATCATGAAAAAAAGAAATAGATTATCGTCAAAACTACATATCTTCCTGAAGAAGCAAGCTCTTGTTCCTGAACCATCAACAAGTTTCGACCACCCACTGTCTTTTTGCGAGCTATGCTCACCAACGGGAAAGAAGAGAACGAAACTGATGATCATGTCGTTATAGCCTCCTCCCCAGCATCATCTTTCAGCAGTTAATGTTAACCTTTCAGTTACCGGTGTTTAGTTAGTTACAGCAATTATTCGTTTAATTACTTATTAAATGACAGCAGTTATTTATTAATCATATATTCAATTTATATTTTCAACTTTCATTGAGTTCGTCGGAAAGTTATCCCATCGTTATTCGAGGAGCAACTATATATGAATTTTGTTATTAGCTGTAAAGCATAATTAAACTATTGGGCTTAAATTATAATTGACATTAGGATCTCTGCGTTGTCTAGAGAACAGAGTTATGATTCTGCCTTGTTGTTGTTGCTGTTATTCCAGAGTTTGGAAGCGACCCTTCAGTGTTCAGGAAATGCAGCTGTAAGCAAACAGCCTGTGAGCGATACATACTGTCAAAATCTGCAGCTAAGCTGTTTGTATTAGCAGCACTGGTGCGTAAAGTCATATTTAATCTTTGGTATCGAAGAAAGTTAAATATGGCTTTTCATCTGCTGATATCAGATTGTCCTACTTTTATAAACGGTTTTTGGTTTCAAGTTGACCATTCGTTCGCAACAAAAGCTGAATTGTACAATGTTGAATCGTTTTCATGGTTTGGTGGCTTTGGCACTGCTGGACGTAATTCTGGCATTATGTTCCAAGTGCAACGACTCTCCGAACACGGAGCCGGGTCGCGAACTCATGGTTCATCTGTTCGAGTGGAAGTGGAAGGACATCACGTACGAGTGCGAGAACTTCCTGCACAAGTACGGCTATGGCGCGGTGCAGATTTCACCTCCAAATGAACATATCGTGCTCACTCAAGGC